GCAATGCAGATCACAAAGCTGAAGAACTAAAGCTTTTGAGGTTGGCCCAAGCGTTTCTTGTCTTTGCTGCCTTCCCCATCAGTTGGGTGTCTTCAGTCTGTGTGGCTCCTTTCTGTACCACAACCTTCTACGATGGATTTTTGTCATAGCAGTGGGGTATGTCAGACTGTGTTGGAGATGTCTGTGAACATCTTGCAGACACTTCTGAACCCAAAACTCTTGGTTAACCCACTGGTTACAAGAACAAAGCTAGGCTGCAATCTGACTGATGCTCTTAATCTTTCTGTCCAGGTTTGAAGAACAGTTGCACCAATGTCTATCTGAGGACATTGAGCCCCTTGGTGATTTCGTAGGTCTTCCTCTCTACCTCCCCCAGTCTCTGGTCTCCACCCCAACTGTCACCTGTCCGTTGATGAAGAGTCCCATGTCATCTGCTCGAGAGGTAAGAAAGGGTGGTACTGAGAATTAACTGTAGCTCTGAGGAGTGCAGGTGCCAAACCTGCTGTAGTTACAAAACCTTTAGTGGGAATTACCTTGGTATGCAGTTTTGGATAGACTTGGGAAATAAAGAATTGAAAAACTATGCCTTGGAAATAACTTCTTTCCAGGGAGGGGAATGCTTTCTGCAGATCTGGAATAAGAGTTCTTCACAGGTGTTAATGCTTTCTGCTGCTGGCAGTCATAACAGTATCCCATGTGGTGCTGCACTTTAGCTTAGGAAATCATCAGTTGTGGGTCAATTTCCCCCAGTTAAAGGAAGGCTGGGGACAGAAATAGCAGAACATGCTATTTTTGCCTTCCCTCCTTGGGTGGGGGGTGCTGACCTCCATGGTTGTTCTCAAAAGTGGGGGAACAGCCAGTGAGCTGAGAAGTTCCTTGTTGGTACTGGGTAATGCTGCTTTCTTGGTCTCATCTCTTTTCTTTCTGTCCAGGCTGGGAGTCAAGAGGGATGCAGACTTCTGGTGGAGGAGGTAAGCCCCACGCTGTCGGACAGACTGAAACACTTGCAGTGGCTCCTCAGAGCGAACAAGGAGGGTGAAGTTGCCTCCGAGCTCCACCTATCTGCTCTGGTGGACATGGTGGATATTTGAGCAGAGGTGAGACACGTGTGCAGACCAAGAGACTTGGTAAAGAAATCCAGGGCCGGGTGATTGAACAGATAAACCCCTGGCGCATGTTCTAGAAAAAGCAGGTGTCCTCCTGGGAGAAGAACAGAGCAGACCTGGGGCCTGGGCCCTTCTCATGTGGCTGCCTTGCACAGGGACGGTGTGTCGTGGCTAGCTGTGTCCCTTTGGCTCACTGCTGAGCTTTGGCTGGTCTGGGCCTCACTCCCTTTTCTGCTTCACAGGCACAGAGATGAGTCACATTCTTTTCTTGGAAAGCCTTAAATTGACACTCTGTTTTTTTCTTTCTACCAGCTCTCATTGGGTAAACATAGCTTCACCAGGAGAAAACTATAAGGTAGCAGGGGCCCCTGGGAACATTAGAGCAATTGCTCTCCATAGTCACAGTCCCCGAGATGTTGTCCCAGCTTTGTGCTTGCCTGCTTCATGCAGAAGCTACCTTGCAGCAGCACTGTAGTTTGAAGTTGCTGTTTTGCTGCCCAGGAATGTCAATACTGTCATTCTCGAGTCGGTGCAACACTTGGCTGCATTTTGTACTTAATGATGCTCGACGCAAATCCAGCAGGATTTTTGTGTTGCTGGGCCCAAATGTTACTGTATTGAATATTTACGGCATTAAAACCAGTGAGTTGCTTATTCTACAGATTGATTGTCATGCTGGAAAGCAGGACATTTTCTTCAGTAAACAGCTATGGAGAAATGATTTTCCTATTTTGGAAGAGCAGATCACCTGCATTCTCCAGTATTTAAAAAGCTGTGGCTTTGACAGTTGAAGACCTTTGGTTTTAGTTTAATATTGATTCCCAGTAAATAGTAGGAAGATGTACTTCATGTCTGCAGTACTCCTGTACAAGTAATCTTTTTTTTATTACAATATCAGCAGATTTTTCTCAAACTTCTGCCTGGTGAAATACAAATTACTGCAGCTTTGGGGGTGAACGCTGATGATCTTGCCTGCCAGAGACGGGTTGTCTGACTTGCTTCTAATTTCATTTGAAACTCTCAGTAGTCCAAATCTGTCAGCTACCTTCCAAAAAAGTAATTTTATAGTGGTTTTTTTAATAGCATTTGTATTATCTCTCTTAAACCTAGAATAGCAATAGTAGGTTAATATTAAATTGAAATAAGAAATTTGAACTGAAGAAATTATGCTTTGAGGCTGTTCATGCCACATGCTGAGTTGTGTTAACTTTCACTGGTTGTATGCAAAGCGAAGCCTGTGTGCTGCTCTCCGCCACGCTTTACCCCTGTGCTGCTGTTGATGTTCTCAGATTACCTGGAATTCAGCTGTAAAAACCCAAAAATGTTTTGGGATGCGGTTCACACCATCTGCTGTAAATGTGGTTTGTACCTAATAAATTTTTAGTGGCTTGAAATGTGCTGTCACCTTATTGCTATGCATAGCTCCTGGTATAGGATGCTGTCAACCTGTGTGAAATACCTAGGTTTGCCAGCCTGCGGGGCGGGGGCAGGGCTGTGGCTGCTAGCCCCGCAGTGCTGTAGAGGCTGGTTTCACTCCCTGGCACCCCCCCACGTCTTCTTGCCCCAGGACCTCACGCCTTAGCTGCGGCTCTGGGGCGTGGCGGCAAAAGTCCCGACGAGGGTGGGATTCGAACCCACGCGTGCAGAGCACAATGGATTAGCAGTCCATCGCCTTCACCACTCGGCCACCTCGTCAGCCTGCTGC